CTAAGAAATAACGTGTCTTTAGAGCGAACCTTGCAAAAAAACACCAGGCACACCCATCTCATTGATCAAGAAGCAGTAAATCTTTAGTTACTTTACTTATTATATCTACTTATGCATAATTACTTATTATTTAATACTAAGGTATTTAAATTTTAATATTAATATATTTTTCATAAAACTATTGCTACACAATGTACTATTACTCTAATAAATGTTTAAAATCATAAAATAAATGTACAAACACAGTATCTAATAGAGTTTTATTCTAATTAACATAAAATTACTTTTGTGGGGGTCGATGGAGATTTCGAAATATTATATAGGGGTCGATGATCAAAAAAGTTTGGCGACCCCTGGTCTAAGGAGTAATGTGGCGCAACTACCACTGTAAATATTAAGTACCGAATCACTAGTATATAAGACATGTTGACTTGATTCTACCTTAAGGTACCTTTTGATAGATGATGGTTGACATAGTCGATTTATAATTCCCCACAAATTATTAATTAAGCTTAAAAACCTGACGGATTTAACAGTACAGTAATTTTTGAATACAATTTTTACCATCATCTATAGTTTAGCTTTGTAATAAATCATTCAGTGGTCTTGATTTTTATTTTTAAAAATATTTAACTACTTCACTTTAAAGTTTTGAGAATTTTGATTTCTTTTTGAAACGAATAAACTTAAGAATTATAATTTCGTTTGCTGAAAGATAGTTACTTACATACATATGAAAGCCATTTGCGTAAAAGCTGTTTTTCTTACCGTAATACTTGTCATCAAAAATATTTATAAGTAGCTGCATTTCTACAGATACAATGTTGTTTTTATTGTGTTCACTAATTATCTTTTCATTACAAGAAGACAACATTTTCGGAGAATTTAGTTTAGCATCAGCCAAACAATCTTCTTACAGTATATTCTATTTACTAGATAAAACGTTATGCTCCGCAATTTACAAAGAAAAATAAAGTTTTTAAATTTTATTATGAATTGTATTAAGTACAATGCATATTTCTTAAATAATAAATTTTTCTTCAGTAGCCTAATACAGTCGGGTTTTTGATTATATTTATAGAATAACTGGTGAATGGATTCATTGAAAATGATAATCAATTTTTGGTATTTATGTTAATATTTGTAAAATGGTAAATAAAAGCATAATAAATCTTTGAGCATAAATAAATCTTTCTTAAATGATGAATGCTTTTTAGTGACTTTATAGATCTAATCTGATTTTCTATTATTTTAATAGGACAAAACACGAATGGTGAAAATGGTAATCAATTTTTTGTATTTATATAAATATTTGCACTTGTATATATATGTATCATCTAAAATTATAATTCAATGGAACTAAAAGGATTTTAAAACTGAACTTAAGAAGAATTATATTTTAATTACAGGCTAGCCTTTCTAACAGATAAGAACTTCAAATAATCTCTTTCACATAATAAACTAAGCTCTTCGCGTATATATTATCAAATGAGTTTATACTGCGTAGTTAAATGCCTTTGTGAAACCAAAAATTATTCAAATTAATAAATATTTTGAGATATTAATTCATCCGATCGTATAATTACATCTTTCGGCGTCAATTCTAACAATGAAGTTTGGATATTATAGATCACATGACATGAAAGAATAACTATATGGTACATGTGAAAAAAACGCGCACTTGTCTTTTGGTAATAATGTTGTAAGCCTGTCCCCAGGAGCTTCTGCTCCTCCATGTATATGATTTGCAAATAGATTTTCTTTACTTTTTCGTCAATAAATGCTTAGTAAAAAGTATTATGGAATAATCATTTTAAATACGACTGCAAAAAACAAACTGAGGGACATGAATTGAAAAAAAAAGAAGAAAAAAATATATATATATATATAGGATAAAAACAGGTCTTAGGACACGGAAAGAGAGCACGATATTTATTTAATAATTGTTAGAGAGAGAACATTCAAGTGACGCAATTTATCTTTTCAGTCCAAGGGTAGATGAAAAATATTGTAGCTCTTAAGTAGTATTCATAGCCTTTAGAACTTATGGCTATAACATGTAGCATACATAAATACAACGCAAGTACCATTTCATCATGAAATTTTCTGGATTAAAGAAGTTACAATTAGTTGACGAAGAATTAGTTGTGCCAGAAAAAAAGTGCTTAAAAAATTTAATGATGAAGTTAAACATTATTCAATTATCCATTTAAATCAGATATTCTATATCTTTGTCACCGATGTACCCCCTCCGTCCCTACCGTTCTATCCTGCCGGCTATTAAGGGTGTCAGTAGTGCGAGCAAGACAAACAGGCTCAGGATTTTAGAATGAGCAAATAAATATTATTTAACCATCATAATTAGAGAATGAATATCCAAGTGACACAAAATCAGTGCTCCTCTAAAAAGTTAGGAAAAATCTTAAATATATAACAGATTTATTATAATTATAATAAATCAATAAAATGTTTCGTTTTTGGAAATAAGGGAAATCTTATTATTATAAATTTTCTATTAAATGAGTCGAGGGAAAAAATCTTTCTCACGGTTCGATTCAAGGGAAAAATCAAATACATAACTTGAAGCAAAAAATAGATAAAAAAGACAGGATGTGGATTTTAAAGTATGTGAAAGAGTGTTTAGTTTAGAATATTAACTAAGGAAGAGTTGGATAAAGAAATAACATAAAAAGTTTATTTAAATGAATGGATCCACCCTATAAACAGGTGTGACGTATGGGTGAGGCAGTCTTGGCTATAGATGGCGCCTCTGGAAAACAAGAACTGCATTAATGGCCTACGACAACAACAATAGCCTTAACAATTTGGCGAGAAACCTACATCACTTAACGTTTGAAGGAAAACACCGTGTTTTAAAAAGACAACGTTTGAAACGGTAAAAAGGAGAGGCTGATTATCAGCGTCATGCTCTACTAACCCTGTCTATTGTTTTGTTTTATAAAACGTTACACAAAATAAACCCTTCCTGATTTGGATTTATCATCGCTTCTTTATCAATCGATCAAAAGAAATTTTTTCTGAAATTTACTGCATTTTATTGTACGAGTAATAGAAGTGTGTGTTGTTTTACTCTGCATGTTCATTATCATTTCTGTGTTGCAAATTGCTTATACAGGCTTTGAAATTGGTATTTATTTCGTGGGTATAAAAAGGTTGCCATTCTAATTAATTTTTTTTAACTTGTTTCGATATATTAAGCTATGTTACTAGTTGTGAGCACTGTATGTATTAGCTACATATCGTGATATGTGACAACTCTTAAATCAAAATTGACCACAGTCTTTTTTTTTCTGGATAAGTTATAAAAATCTAGCATAAGGTCTTATAAATTGTTTTGAGTCATGAATTTTTTATATTGTTTCTGAGTATCTTTCTACTTCTGAATTTCATGAACAGCCGTCCATATCAAGCTTTCTTTAAAGCTGCTTGCGCATTTTGAGTCACAACTTCTAAAAAACACTCTTCAGAACAAAGGAAATTTTCCTTCTCTAGGCGCGAAATTCGAGGATTTATTGTAAAATAAATCCACTGGGTCTAAGTTTTAATAATACGTTTATTAACGAATAAATAAATATAAGTTGTTAGACTAAGTTTTGATGATTTTTTAAGATACTTCCTAACGTGGCACGATTCATTAAAAAATATTACTAATTTAAGAATCTGCACTAATTAAGGCTCTCAAAGTTATTAAATTACTTCCTTACTGTTCAATTATTGTCTTATTATCTCCTATGTCACGCTAATTTAAAAGATTAAAAAAATAACTTTAATATTTTTTTCAGAAAACCAAAATAATCAAGAAGCTGGACGTGAACAAAATGAAGGAGGTCAACAACAAAATGTAAACAGAAAAGGCCAGCAGCAAAATTTTAATAATGAAGAACAAGGGAGTGAAGGGCAAAATGGTGAGCGAAACGGGGCGGAAAATGCTGGCCAAAATGGTGAGAACCGACGTCTAGGTCAACAAAATGGTGAAGGTGGTCCTCCGATTCAGCAAAATGGTGAGCAAAATGCTGGCCAAAATGGTGAGAATCGACGTCCAGTTCAACAAAATGGTGAAGGTGGTCCTCCGATTTGGCAAAACGGGGAGCAAAATGCTGGCCAAAATGGTGAAAATCGACGCCTAGTTCAACAAAATGGTGGAGGTCGCCCTCCGATTTGGCAAAATGGTGAACAAAATGGAGGACAATTTGAATCTCAGCAGAACAACGGAAATCGACCTCCAGTTTGGCAAAATGGCGCACAAAACGAAAGACGGACTGAATTTCAGCAGAACAGTGGAAATCAACGTGTAGTTTGGCGAAATGGGCAACGGAATGCTGGGCAATCTGAATTTCAACAGAACGGGGGAAACCGACCTCCTGTTTGGCAAAATGGAGGGCAAAATAGAGGGCAAATAGTATTCCAGCAGAATGGCGGAAATCAACCTCCTGTAGCACAAAATAGCGGAAATCAAAATCTTGGTTGGCAAAACGGCGAACGGCGTATTATTTTGCAGAATGGGGGTCCACCTCCTGTTAGTCAAAATGGTGGACAGCGTATTATTTGGCATGAAGGGGGTCAACCTCCTGTTAGTCAAAATGGTGGACAGCGTATTATTTGGAACAATGGTGGGGAACAGGCTCCTATTTTGCAAAACAATGACGGCAACGTTAAAGGTGAGCTATGACTTTTGTAAAGTACTTTACACTTACTGTTTGAAATCTTTAAAAACTTTTAAACTTTCAATACAATAAGATCGTAATCCATTGAAGCAGCGATTTATTTGATGAAGAACACATAAATAAAGATATTTGTTCAAGAATTTTTAAAACCAGGACTGACGAAAGTGACGGGCAAGGGGGACAATCAGTTGGACAGCCCGATAAGAGAGCGCCGTGCGAGATCCAGATTTAATGTTCTCTAAATTATAAATTTAAAAAAAGAAAGCATGGTTTGTTTTAAAAATATATTGATAGGTTTTTATTTTTAGTTATATATACTTTATTTTTAAAGTTCATTGAATTTTACTAGAGATAAAAAGGAAAGTGTGCTAAGAAAAAGACATTTTTTTTATATTGAAGTTTTACATTTTCCACGAACGATCTCTTCTCTAAACCATTCAACAAACAAGGAGTTAGGGGGGCATTACTTTAAGTTTCACGTTTAAGATTAACATTGCCTAAAGATAAGTGAATAAGAATATTAAAAACGAGTCATCAATACAGCAGTGAATTTATTTATGGGTGAATGAATGTGTTTACAAATTTATAAAAATGTTTATAAACCTCTAAATTGTGTAACGACAGTCGACAACAAAAACAAATTTTTTTTCAAATAATTTTTAACAAAATTGCGATACATTGACTGCAACATATCCTTAAAATATCGTTTATATGTGTACATTTTATATTTTACATATTTTACCATATCTCGGGAGCTTATTAAGCGAAGTTGAAAGTGTTTGCACCTAATTATAAAATTCTCCTATCCAAAGATAAATTACACTCAAAAAATTTATTTTAGTAAATAATAATTATTTTGTTTAATAATGGAAACATTTTGCATTAAGTTGAAGAAATAAAAATAATATTTTGCAGTGAGATGAAGAAATAAGAAAAATTAATTTATCGCATACATTTTTGAAAATTCAGCATAGCTAACAAAAGCTACACATTACTTCTTAAATATTTAAAACCAATATATCAAGTAAACTCACAATAACATTTTGATCGCCTTCCAATTGGGTGAATCGAGTTCAAATCCCAGAGATGGCATGTTGATACGAATTCCTCTCCCTGCTCTCATCGACCACAGAACTGACGTAAAATAGCCTAAGTGGTAGACGGATCATGGGTTAGAGGCCCCTTGTCGTCAGGCTATCCGTGGGAGGTTTACGTTGTTTCCCTCTCTGTATAGCGCAAATGTGAGTTAGTTCCATCAAAAGGTCATCCACGAAGGCATATTTCTCCCAATACTTAAACCAGGAGTTCCCTTGTCTTCTGGATTGGGTTCAAAATTATAAGGCTAAGGAGTTGAACATTAGTAGTCGTAAATCTAAAAACTGGGTTGGCTGTTCAACAACTGTTATAAACTAAAATATAATAACATTTTTAAAAAATTGATAAGCAAAAATTATTTTTTTTGTATGTATGTGTGTAAAAAAAACTTTACATTGTCTTTAAAAAAGAACTAACTGTAGGATAGATTAAAATAACAATTTGCATAATTCTTGTATATGTTGAACAGATTTCAGGAATTTGAATTCCTTTAGAAATTTGTGTACATTTGATTTACCTTATCATGCATTTTCTCTAACTAATTAACTAGTTAGACACCAGCATCATTGTATGAAGACAGTACAACTTTTTAGAAAATTTCAGGGATGGTAACGTGATTTACTTATCTATATTTACCCGGGTTAAGTAAAAAAAAATCGTTCCCCCATAACATATTAAAAAATAATTAATATGAATGCAAAACTTAAGCAAATCAGTTTAGAAAACCTAAAGTGACGGCTAACAATAGCAAATTTCCACTAATTATTAGTTTAAATAAATACGCATTTCCTCATTTTAAATCGGAGCACATTTCTTAAAACTGCAGTATAAAATTTTGGGTACATGAGTGTGTGTTCATAATCTTCTTAAAATGTTCATTAAAGAGATCTAGCTTCTTTTCATTAATATATAATTGAATCTTAATATATCAAATTGTGTATTATATAAGTGCTACATAATTGTATATAATATAGTATACAGTATATCGCATATTATATCATGTATTAAATATTACACAGTATATAGTATATAATACTACAGTATACAATATAGTATATAAAATTTTTTACAGAGATCATTAGAAAATTGATATGGATACCAGGTAAGCAATAGTTTGTTCTTAGATTTTTTTTTATTTCATTTATATTAAAAGATATACAAAATATATCAACAATCCATAAAAAGTTTGTTAAATTAATTTTGCCAGTGTTTTAACTATTAATCCTCTGGAACAAAACAATGAATAAGAAGATAAAACGTAAACCGCCAGTGTTTTAATTATTAATCCTCTGGAACAAAACAACGAATAAGAAGGTAAAACGTAAACTACCAGTGTTTTAATTATTAATCCTCTGGAACAAAACAATGAATAAGAAGGTAAAACGTAAACCGCCAGTGTTTTAATTATTAATCCTCTGGAACAAAACAATGAATAAGAAGGTAAAACGTAAACCGTAAAAAAAACCTTTATTAAGTCAAATAGTTGATTATTTTTGACAAGTTTCGAGAAATATTTCATTTATTTTGACTCAATTACAAAAAAGTTGAGAAATAATATTTAAACAAGACGAAAACAAAACATATTTTTGATGCTAATTATTAACGGGGAAAGCGAGATTAAAAAACATTAAAACCAGTTTCATTCCAAAAGGAAACTTAGAGGAATACCTCGATTAAAAACACCTTCAAATTGCATTCCTCAATTTAAAAGGTCTTGAACCCGTTTTGTGCTACTTAATAGTGATTCGCCAGATATAGTTAATGCTTCCCATTTATCCTAACTAATGTATCAATTAATGAACCTTAATTTATGTATTATTTTCGTCATTTTTGACACAAATTGTTGAAATATATTTATAGGAATATGTATTTTCGTTCAGGTCAACCTGTATTTTCCTTCAGGTTCAAAAATATTTTGTTCAAATTCGTTCCGACTTTAAAACGAGGGATTTCAAACGATGACAAACTCGTCCTAAATTTTAAATCAGGATGAGAATAAAACGATTAAAACATGAATAACATTGACAACGTTAAATGATACATACCGTATATTGAAGAAAAAAAATTTAAAAATTAGGTAAAAATTATAAAGATAAAAACTCGAATATACGAAAGTAGCATAGCATATCACTTACTAAAAGACTTAGCGTATTACTAACGATACCGTACAACATATTATCAGCTACCTGTATTTCCTCGAAGGTTATTTACTTATTTTTTTTTAGATACAACCGAATATATCTTTTGATGCTATCATTAAAAACAATTGGAAAAAGGAATATCAATGAACATATCTTTGAAATTAACTATAACTTTTACTCAACTTTCAAATTTTAGAATATTCAAAATTAAAGAATTATTAAAATCAATTTTCAAATATTTTTTTTTATTTCATATGATCATCGAACTTATTTTTATAATTTTGTTCGCTTTTAGGTTAAAATGTTAAAAATAAACCAGGAATTAACCTTAAATAATTGGTTTTAAATCATATATATGAATGCACACCGAAGAGCCATTACATTATGACCACCCTGCTAATAACATATAGGACCACAGGACCACCTTTAGCCCTCAAAACTGCTAGCACCTGCTGTGGCATTGATTCCACAAGGGTCTGATAGGTAGTCTGAGGTACCTGGTACCAAGCGCTCACCAACTGGTCCTGCAATTCCCTCATATTGCGAGGGGGTAGCGTGGCAGCACGAATTTGGTTTTCCAAGTAGGACCGCAAATGCTCTATTGGATAAAGGTCAGGTGAATTTGGGGGCCAAGACATGACTTGAAAGTCACTGGAATGTTCCTCGAACCAATCCATGACGATTCGACCCTTATGACATGGTGCATTATCCTGTTGGTAAACACCGTCCCCCGCAGGAAAAACTGCTGCCATGAATGGGTGAACCTGGTCTGCAACTGTGTTCAAGTAGCTTACAGACGTCAGGGATTGTTCTATGAGGATTATGGGTCCTAATGTGCCCCATGAAAACATTGTTCCTGGGCGAGAAACCATGAAAACCTGGGCGAACCCATTGTTATAGATGGAGGGTGGTCATAATGTAATGGCTCTTCGGTGTGTATTATCTAAGCAAATATCATGCTGAATTAGGTGAACTAAGTTCAAAGTAATCATTGAATAATTCTGAATTTAGAAAAGTTATTAAATTATAAAAATAAAATTTTTCAATTTTTGTTATAAAAATAAATATAAAAATAATTATAAAAATAAATTATTTCAATTTTTTTTTTCTAATATGCTGCTAGCATGTAAGACGTAGGCTTTTAAAACAGGCTTGATCAAAATTCTTTGATAAATATTATATTAAAAATATTAATTTTAAATTGAATTACTGTGATTTTAAAGGAGAACCAAGACCTTAAATAAATTTTTTTTTCAACAAATTTTCCTTTAAAAATTTTTTTTTAAAAATCAGTTTTTAAAAATGATAAACTTTCATGTATTTTTAAATTCTAATATTTTAAAAGTTTGAATGCTTAAATGTTACGTTACCAAAATATTTTACAACTCAATATTACTTGAACGAATACATTTGAAAAATAAATTATTTAGTTGAACAATATTTCTTCATTCAAATAATATTACTTATTTCATTAAATTTTAAATTGAGCAAAAAAACCTATCATTTAAATCTTTTTAAAAAAAATGCATCGAGTAATTTTCAAAACTTTCGAAATCAATAAATTTTATTTACCTACAGTATCATTTAATTTGAATTCAATAAAAATTTTTGTTGTTTCTTTTAATACATATATAATAAACATTTATTAGGAGGAAACAATGGAGGAAACAATGGAGGAAGCGGACAAATTACCTTATCACCGATAGAACAACCAGGTAAATAAATCTCAGCAATAATAAAATAATTTTTTGATTGATTGATTTATGATAGTTTCTCTTGATATTATAATTAGCAGTAGTTAGTACAAAAGATGTATTAAAACTGTTATATATCTAGAACTGTCTTTAAATAAAAGTTACTTTTAAAATAAAATAATAAATTAACTACTGAAAAAATAGATTTATACGTATTTAAAAAAAACATTTCATCTTTTCGTGTTGTAATTATACCCATTATTAGCTTTGATTAGACTTTTAATTACTTAAGTTAAAGAGAAGAAAAATGGTTCAATGTATGATTATCTTTACAGCACTAATTATCATACGTGATTTCATGAGCAATTCTTATTCTTTTATTTATTGAAAAACTACAAAAAGTTTTACTCTAAAAATAGCTGTTTATTATTTTTTACTGATTGCGAAACTCAATGTATTTTCATACAATTGCATTTTCAATTTAAAATGCATGCTTTAATCAAGTATGCATTTTAAATTGAAAAAAAAATTATTATTATTTCCTGGCAAACACTGACTGACAACTCAATATTTTTAATCAATGCGAGATTTTAAAATATTTCAGTTCAAAGCTCACCATTTTTTTCAGTTGCGAAACACAAATTGTTTATTTTAATATAATTTAAGGAACATTTTAATCAGGTATATATTTTAAATTCAAAAGAAAAATTTTATCTCTTTTATTATTTCCTAACAAACTTTTATTACCAATGCAAGATCTTAAATTCTTTTGTTCTAAATTATAACTACTTCATTAATTTATTACTACTATACTTACACATTAATTTATTAAATTATTACTACTTCATTAATTTATTACTACTATACTTGCATACTAATTTATTAAATTATTACTACTTTCTTAATTTATTACTACTATACTTATTAATTTTTTAAACTATTACTGCTATATTAATTTATTACTACTATACTTACATATTAATTTATTAAATTATTACTACTTTCTTAATTCATTACTACTATACTTATAAATTTTTTAAACTATTACTGCTTTATTAATTTATTAGTCTAAATTATTACTACTTAATTACAAGATTTCAAAATGCTTTTTATTTCTAAAATCGACTATTTTTAGTATGATATTCGGGAAATATATTATTCGATGCTGCTGTAAGAATACTTCACTAGAGTAGAAAGAGTTTGTATGAAACTGCTTAAATATTCCAAAGTGTAATAAAATTTTTGCTTTTTAAAAAACAAAATTCGAGCAGTAAACATTTGGGATGAAACCTTAGAACCCTTTCTTCATCACATGACTTACGTTTCAGTAACTACAGCTGTGCTATGACCTGTCCATTATACTGGGAACCATCAAATTTCTAAAGTATAAAACATTTTTAAACTACTATAAAATTATCTGATTTAAATTACACAAGCTAAGTTTGCTATCTAAAGCCACTTTTTATTGACTTAAAAAAATATTTTTTGTTAAAAATGTTCGTGTGCATTTTATAGTTTGAAAATTTCTATATTACATTTAATTTTTGATGCATGAATATTTTATTAAATTTTCAACTATATATTTTAATAATAGCTTATAGAAATCGGTTCAAAAACTTCTGTTTTACTGATTACTTCAAAACAATAATTATTTAAATTTTGTATAAAAAAATCATTAACCATCGTTATTTATTAAGAACGTAAATTTAAAAGAAAAATCTGAAATAAAATTAAATTTCTACGAAAAATATTTTTATTTTTATGAAGTGCTTTCATGGAAATTCTAAATGAAACCAAAAGGAATAGCCAAACCTAATGCAGTCCAAACTAAACTACATCAAAGAATTTTAGCTTTACCTGATTTAGAATTTTTACGGGGCATAAAATTCGACATGAAGTTGTACTATTTGTTGCGTTTCAGGACAGAATGAAGGTGATCAAGTCATAACATTATCACCTATAGAACAGCCAGGTAAATACAAAAATCTATAATTGAAATATCATTACTCTTACAAAATGAAAAAAAAAGGATAATGACATAGTACAAACGCAATTAATTATTTTTGAGATATTTATTATGTTTCAAAAACGATGACACATCTTTGTTTATCTGAAAAGATAAGTTTGAATTGGATTTCCTCTGCTATGCTCTATAGCAGTGGTTCCCAAATGATGTACCACGGAACCCAAGGGTTCCGTGGAAGAGTTAAAGGAATTCCGCGAGTTAACTGTTTTTATAACCAGTGATGAGTTTTTCAAACCTCTGATTATAATTAGATCCAACTTATAATGCATAATTGAATTAAATCTTGCGGTTGCCTTTATGAAATTATTTTAATTAAAATAACAATGAAGTAGAAATGGCATTTTTAAGAGAGAATTATAACCAGTGATGAGTAACAATATATTGAACAAGTGACAATACATAGAACAGTGAATAACAATATATTGAACAAATTATGAAAAGAACAAGCATTTATTAAATATTCCATTAATATTTCCCAGCGCATTTTTTAAATCAAAATAAAGAAATACGTTTCCACAACCATTATCAACGTTTATAATACTATCAACGTTATTGGTATTTTATTCATTTCAAAGTAAACTGTAATTTGTCACATTTAATTTATTTTCAGATTATGTAAATCCATCAAAAACAAATTCATAACTAGACTAGATATAGCACCAGAACTGCAACTGTAAATGTCGGACATAAAATCTAATTAAAGATTATTTTTGATAAAACGAGGAAAAATCTTCATTCCTCTAATTAAATATTTTAAATTTAGCCTTTTATAGGTTATGACGTTCCCAATTTCCTTCAACTTTATTTATTAAGTTGGTATTCCTCGAAAGAAGAATATTTCGGGTTCCCAAACCAAAAAAATTTGGAAAACGCTGCTCTATAGTATAACATTGAGAACTGCTTTGCACTTCTGCAAAGGTGCCTGCCTAAGTAAGGGGCCAATCACCAATCTGTACCACCTGTCTCTTCGTTCAAGGGCGTGATGTTACCCCAAGTGTAGCTTTGTTAGTTTAGCTCCTATTGGCATTTCGATAAGAGGAATAATTGCTTTTTTGAACGATAATACTGAAATAAAAAATTATGTTCCCATTATAAACATATAGGTAATACATAAGTAAGCACATAAATAATAAATTTTACAATGCATCATTTGGGTGTATAAATAGATACAAGCAGCTTTCGCCGATGTGTAAACGGACAAAAAATGCTTTTTTTTTTCATTTTTAAAAAAATTGTAACTAATTCTTTTCTGCATTTTTCCTGCAACCAATCCTGTATGTGAGAATATATAATTATTATTATTCACATTTAAAGTTTGTGAAGGGCTGAATAATCAAAAAATGACATCACTCTCTCATTTTATTTACTTATTAAAAATAACATAAATTTAAAAAAATCTGAATAAGTTTTACAAATTTCCTTCCGTCCTTTTATACATTTTTTAGTTTAATTTAATCAAACATTTATATCCTAATGCATTTTCTAATTTAGTTTAATAAATGTTCTTCTTGTAATAATATATTTTCTAGCTTAATTTAATGTTTAACCTAATTTAACAGTTTTCTAATTTAATTAAATAAACATTCCAAATTATTAACTTTACACGAAGAGTTTCTAGCATTCTGCACTCCACAATTTGTGTTCTGAACTCTCCACTGGCCAATACCAAATGAAAAGCCTAGCTCCTATGTCCAGTTAATTTTTTTTTTATGGTTTTGAAACCATACTAGTGGTAAACAGTTGAAAAACGGTATAATTTTGCATTCAAAGCTTTACTAGTTATAAATGGTTTCGAATATTATGCGTTTATTACGATCTGTGGATGAATGAATGGCTGCACGAATGGGCCCGCCCTATGAACGTGTATGACGTATGGTGCGGCAGAAAGCGAATTTTTGGCCATAGATGGCGCCACTGGAAAACAAGAGCAATCGCACCCCCTCTGCCTAAACAGGCAAACGTCAACAACAACAATGGTTTCGAAACAGTAAAACTGAAAAAAGTTTTTTACCTTAAACTTTACAATTAATCAGATGGAAAAAATTCTGTCGTTTATTTTACCTTAATTTTAGAATGGGAATTCTAACAGTACATAGTAGTTCAAAAATGCTCCGCAGGTGCACAGTAGTTCAAAAATGATCGGTTCAAAAATACATTATCAAAAGATAGACCTTCGGTGCATGATTTCTTTTGTATGAATTATAATACCTAAATTTTTTCATAATTTTTTATCTAATTTAATTTTTTGTTTGAATTTTTAGTTGATCTATACCTTTCCCCTAAAACCTGAACAAAAATTACTTCTTTGCATTCCCTAACATAAATAAATTTTTAAATATTTCCATAAAGACTAGGTTCACCTTAAAAAAAATTTCTTATTTTAAGTCATCTATAGATTTAAATGAGATGATCAATTAAAACTATGAGAAGTCTTCGATAAAGAATTCTAGTTTTAACTAATTCAAGATTTTACGGTAGCATAAAATTCTCTGTTGTTCAATATACTATTTATACTATTTATTACGTTTCAGGATGGAATGAAGGAGATCAAGTTATAACATTATCTCCTATAGAACAGACAGGTGAATAAAAGAAATTATAATTTTAAATTTATATACTGAATTGAAAATTTGATTGAATTAAGAGGAAATATTTGCTATTTTCCAAAAAAAAATCATTTCAAGTATTTGTTTTTGTTGAACGTGAACGTTTTTGCGTAAAATTTAGGCTTTTAAATACCTGACTAAATTCAGAAAAAATATTTGAAGCTTTTTTACTCTATCTTATCTAACTAACTCCTGCAATGAAATGTTACAGCTGGAATAAAAATGGGCATAAAGGACAATAATCACTAAAAGTATAGGATAATAATTCGAAAACTTCTTTTATTTAATTCCTTCTATGAATAGCAAAGTAACTATTCCAAAAATTCGATGCGTAAGTAAAATAATAGTTATTTTTCTAAAAAAGAATTAAATATTCGTTTGTGCTTAAATTATTTTTACAGTTAGTAATCGATTGTGTTGAAATTTTAACGGTACAAAGGCTATTTTGAGACAAATTTAAAGTAATACGTTACTCATGAGTTAATATGTCCCTATGGAACCAAAATAAAACGGAGCTAGAAACTATATTTGACGCAAAAACAAAATAATTATTACAATTAACTTCACTTTACTTTCTCATTTGTTACCTCAGTTTAGTACTTAATATTATTATTATATTGATAATTTATAACTAAATATATTCATTAAAGAAATGTGTAAATAACTTCAGCAACTTTATTTTTTTAGGAAGAAGATGGGGATGGAATAATGGTAATTTATAGCTTATATTTTTTAAATATTTCGGATTATATTTAAATTCAGATTATTCTTAAATAAACTTATATTTTCAGCATTTAAACATAATAAAGTTTTTTACTAATAATTTATTTTAGAAACATAAAAAAAATTTAAATGACCTTTCATTTTTAATTTATGAAATGGATAACCACCACGGTAATCTTATGTTGACCCTTGCGCACAGTATATATGTAGTTCAGTGATGTGAGGAATCTAATTTTGACTGTAATTTTTACCTATACAATCAAATATCGTTACTTTACTTTATCTATACTTTAAATTCTTTTTAATTCTGAATTCTAATTATTTATTCAATTTAAATCATTTTTAACATTGGATATTTTGTTTTAATAGTATTTAAAAAGTCTACCTATGGAAATCTGAGATGGGCATAGTAGTAGGCCTCGGCCCTCTATGGGCTATCGCGTTACTGAGCTTAGTTTAGCATTTAAAAAGTGTACCTATAGAAGCACTTTTCGTTTTGACTAATTTAATATAATGCAAAAGAGTAAGTAATAAAAATGTATTGTTGAAATTCTAGAGAAAAATCAGAGCATAATTATTTAAAAAATAAGATTAAATATTTTAGGATGAAACATTATGATTTGTTTTATATTACTAAGAATTTACTAATACTTTTTATATTACTAAGATCTTCTACATTACTAAGTTCCTTGATCGCTCCGATCACCAACCCTCATTATTGTTTCCCATTCATCATTGCTTCTCACTAAGATATCCATATTTTTCATGAAACACAATTAATATTTTAATTAAATAATTAAGTATTAATTAATATCTTAATTAATATTTATTTGTTGTTGCTGTTGTAGTTCATTTACGTCGCACTAGAGAAGCACAATGGGCTATTGGCGACGGTCTGGGAACCATCCCTAAGGATGATTCAAAGACATGCCATCACAATTTTGATTCTCTGCTGAGGGGATGGCACACTCGCTTCGATAGCCCGAAGACCTGCTCGCGAAGTCGAGCACTTTACGGTAGAACAGTGTAACGGGGACCAATACCGCGCACCCTCGGGCTTAATCAGACTGATCCAAGTGGTCACCCACCCACGCACTGACCGCAGCCAGTGATGCTTGACTTCGGTGATCTGGTGGGAACCGTGTCTTAATTATCAGTTCACTGCGGGACAATTAATATTTTAATTAATATAAAATAATTCATACAAAAGTACATATTAAGTATTAATGATAGTATAATTATTTATTATGTATTAATTAATATAAAATTATATATTACGTTTTTCAAACTAAGAATAGGGCATATTGTTCATAAAATTTCATTATATAGCAAAAAACATTTCATCTATAATTATTTTATAATAGACTTCCAATTCCAACTTTTTTTTATTGCAAATATAAAAGGAAATAAAATAATAAGTTTTTAAAATAATCATTGTTAGTGTTATAAGAACAAATAAACATATTATACGAGTTATCAACTTACAGAACGTTATAAAAATTATCGATTGTACCTTCTTGGTACCAATGTTGTTAGTAGTGAAAAGCATAGAATGATGCGATTTTTTTTTATCATTAACCATTTGACGCAGAAAAAACACCGGTGTCCCTTTTATATATTTTTTCGAACGTTCTAATTACAAGTACAAATATATTTTTGTATTTCTTAATTATAAATAACAGTCCAATAGTTACTAAAAACTTTGTTAGGTTATCGCAATTACATTTGCACTAAAATATAAAATCTAAAATACTTTGAAATTTTTTTTCATTCATGTTCATAAATTTATAAATAATAGGTCTTGAAAATTAATGAAATTTCAATGATGAAAAACTGCTTTCAGGTTTAAATAACTGCAAATAAGTGTAAATTTGACAAAATTATTCTTTGGAAGTGACCCGTGTTTAGAAGATTTTATCTTTAACACAGAAAAAGTCACCAGCGCTTCTTGTTGTATTTCATGTTCATAAATTATTAAAATATTAAATATAATATTTTTCACTTATTTAGACCTAAATTGATACAAATTAATAGAAAAAGTAAGAAAAATATGCTTACTTAAAATCTGCGTCACAGGGTTAAGTATTAAAGTTGGTATAATTATTTCTTACATAGTGATTAAAGTAAAATAATAGTTTTTTATACTAAGCAAAAGAAATGTTGTTAACAAAATATAATTTCTCCAGGAAAAAAACATTTAATCCATAAACAATTAATAGTAAGCATCCAATTCCAACTTTCATTTATTTTAAAGATCAAATGTAAACAAAATAATAAATTAAAAGGAAGCATTTAACATTTCAAAACAAATAAACAAATATAACGAACCAATGAATATCTAATATGAATTATAAACAAACAGAATGTTGTTAAAATCACAGAAAGATGCAAGTTTAGTCTTATCATTGATAAGTATGCTACTGTTTATTATATATCAAATGATCATAGAAGAATGCAAAGGCGTATGATGATATATGTGACCCGATTTCCCTCTATATCAAGGTTACAAATGCTTCAAAGTTTACTATTATATATGGTCAAATTCAAAATGTCTAACATTTTACCGTAGCTCGTTTGAAGAAAAGCACAATTAGAGATTATATTTTTTGTTTTAAAAATGACTTACAATTGCAAGTTTGAAAAGCTATTTTGTGTAAAGAATATATTTTTATGTTTCAGGTGGAGGTGCTAACAATGGTGGTAATAATGGCAGAGGTAATAATAATGGTAGGTAATCCTTCTATTTCAAAGTTACAAATGCTTCAAAATTAACTATTACATGGTCAAATTCAAAATCTCTAACATTTTACCGGAGCTCGTTTGAAGAAAAGCACAATTAGAGATTATATTTTTTGTTTTAAAAATGACTTACAATTGCAAGTTTGAAAAGCTATTATGTGTAAAGAATATATTTTTGTGTTATAGGTGGAGGTGCCAACAATGGAGGTAATAATGGCTGGGGTAAGTAATCCTTCTATTTCAAAGTTACAAATGCTTCAAAATTGACTATTATGTGGCCAAATTCAAAATGTCTAACATTTTATCGTAGCCCGTTTGAAGAAAAGCACAATTAGAGATTATATTTTTTGTTTTAAAAAATGACTTACAATTGCAAGTTTGAAAAGCTATTTTGTGTAAAGAATATATTTTTATGTTTCAGGTGGAGGTGCTAACAATGGTGGTAATAATGGCAGAGGTAATAATAATGGTAGGTAATCCTTCTATTTCAAAGTTACAAATGCTTCAAAATTAACTATTACATGGTCAAATTCAAAATCTCTAACATTTTACCGTAGCACGTTTGATAAAAAGTACAATTAGAGATTATATTTTTGTTTTAAAAATGACTTACAATCGCAAGTTTGAAAAGCTATTTTGTGTAAAAAATATTTTTTATGTTATAGGTGGAGGTGCCAACAATGGAGGTAATAATGGCTGGGGTAAGTAATCCTTCTATTTCAAAGTTACAAATGCTTCAAAATTAACTATTACATGGTCAAATTCAAAATCTCTAACATTTTACCGTAGCTCGTTTGAAAGAAACTACATTTAGAGATTATATTTCTTGTTTTAAAAATGACTTACAATTGCAAGTCTGAAAAGCTATTTTGCGTAAAGAATATATTTTTATGTTATAGGTGGAGGTGCCAACAATGGAGGTAATAATGGCTGGGGTAAGTAATCCTTCTATTTCAAAGTTACAAATGCTTCAAAATTTACTATTACATGGTCAAATTCAAAATCTCTAACATTTTACCGTAACTCGTTTGAAAAAAACTACATTTAGAGATTATATTTTTTGTTTTAAAAATGACTTACAATTGCAAGTCTGAAAAGCTATTTTGTGTAAAGAGTATATTTTTATGATTTAGGTGGACGTGCCAACAATGGAGGTAATAATGGCGGTGGAAATAATAATGGAGGTAATGATTGTACGAAACATATTATTTATGTATTTAAAATACGTAACACGATATGAAGAAATGAGGAGAAATAAAGCTTTTTAAAGTATTTTATGCTTTTAAAAATTTTATGTAAATATTGAGATATATTTTCAGTTAACACATTCGATCTCTCTATCTATTTTCCTTTTTTTACTTTCGACGTCAGTTTAAGACCAAAACAAAAATATCAAGAAGTAAATAAACTTTTCCGTGACAATGAGATAATAGTTATGATATCAAGTCAAAAACAAGAGAAAAATAGCGAAAAGAACAATTAAAATTCAATAACTTTAAAATAAAATTCCTTTTTCGCTATTTTTTTTCAATTAGTTGATGATTATTAGTTCACACTCTCCTATTCCTACCACACTCTTCCTATAGCTTATTCAAATTTTCAATGGATTTATAAAAAAACTCTTTATTCATCCACTCTAGCTCAAATAAATTTTTTACCCATAGGCAAAACGGGTCTTGGTTTGGATTTCATGGCGTCCTCACTTTTCAACGACAATAATCAGGAGTAATAATAAACAGCGCGCATGCGTTGCTATTGCGACGACAGCTGCTGTTTAATCACTTTTTTTTTTTTTTTTTTTTTTTTTTTTTTTTTTTTTTTTTTTTTTTTTTNTTTTTTAGAATTCTTTTTTTCACTTTCAATTTTGTTATGCATTAAGTTGGAGAGTTTAAATTTGAGATATGGGACCAGAGAGATCCCATAAATACTTCTTGAATTGTGAATAAAAGAGAATTTCATCATTTGAACGATATTTTTGTTTTTATTGTTTTAATTAAAAATCAGGAATTCTAATCTACAGTTCAAACTGGATCGTTTTCAATACTAATTCAGGTGAATATCACGAATAAAGAGGGTCTAAACTGATTGACACGGTCCCAAAAGTTAGAGTTGCAGCAAGAAAATAACATTACCAAGGCTGAAAAAGCCAAAGAACGTAGACGGGAATACCTTAAGCATTACACACAAACGAAAAAACGAAAGGATTCCGTTCGCAAATTTAAGCATGAAGGCCGTCCCTCACGAAAGTACCAAAGTGGTTGAGAGAATTGAACCTTACCGAAGAGCGAATGGTGACTCTCCGAACCCCTTTCATGCAAATACGAGAACTGGTTGTTGATCACCAGTTAGGGATAAATGGATCTATAGTCAACGTACCCAAGACCGTAGACTGTCTTCCACGCAATATAAATGATTCATTCACTGTTCATGTAAAATTGAAGAAAGGCCTAGCTTTCAAATCATATTTCACGTATGAACTTGTGAACCCGAAACCGGTGTATGATGCAGCTCACAATCTCTATTAAATACAATTGTACCACTCCGACAATGTTAATATTGATCTCGATTGGCTGTTCAATGTCTATTCATTCATCATAAGAATTTACACAGAGTGTGTCTGAGCTGCATTTAAATATGTCTGCGAAATTGTGTACCTAACAATTCAGGATTAACAGTTGAATATGTCCAAGATGAAACCACAATAAAGTTTCTTTTCCAAAAAAAAAAAAATTGGACAACAACCATTTTGCCAATTGGTAACCTGTGATCGCCTTGCAGCGATCACAATTTTCTTCATGAATCGTATTTATATTATTTTATTTTTCAAGCTCGGGTGATTATTTTTCAAATCCAGGTAATTGGCCATTTCGTTTTGGTTAACATGTTAACAAAATGTATTTGCATAAAGCTAAAATAATTGCACATTTTTACAAAATAAGAAAACAAAACTTGTTGTGCCTAATGCATCTGACTTCCTAAATAATCACTTTAACGACGGAATCAAATAAACGGCTTTACACAACAATCACACATAGATAAATTTCTCCTATACCTGAAGAGGGATTCGAACTCCAGATCTTCGTGGTATAAAGTCAACTTCTTGACCACCATACCACCAGTCAGTGTAATTCGTCAATTTATTTCCGATTGTCTGGTGTTTATTCTAGTTTCATCAATCTGGTTAACAATCTCCCACAATGCACTACGAAGAGATTTCGAATCGAGGAAGCATTTTTACCATACATTTGAGAGTTCACGTTTCGCCACAAATCACGTGATTTCGTGACGAAATAATTCTTAAAATTAACGAAATACTGCTCAAAGACTGCTGGAGTGTTAAAAGTGAGAGTTTTATTAATGAGAGTGTATCTTTATATAATATTAGATACTATTATTTTTCAATTAATCCGTAAATATAATTTCATGAAGTTACCAAAGAGTAATAATGATTTTTGTAGCACTTTATCTAACATTTGTCATTTTAAATAATATTATAAATTATAGAGTTAAATGATACAATGAAATTATTTGATAAAATTAGGAAAAATGATAATATGAAAATAATGAATATTTGAACAAATTTTTTAACTTATGATATGAAAAGGTTAAATTATAATTTAAGTCATGCGGCATTTATAACTGCTAAATGGCTATTAAAAAAATCTTCATACGTCAATAAACGTGCAATGAAATTATTTAAACTCAGCCACCTTTGGCGACCATCTTTCAAAATTATCTTGTGCAACGTATAAACTTCTATGAAAATCAAGACAAATGCACAACGAAACTGTACTTAAATATTCCAAATCTTCCCACTCTCCTCCAATTCTAACACCCTAATTAGTTTTAAACGATATATCAGCAAAGTTTTCTCACCGTCTAGCTGTTGCCCCGAGCAGATTTGATTTTAATTTTAATTATTTTCAAGAGGTTTCAGTACAAAGTTCATTAAGTACTGAATTTTGGAAATAAATTAAAATTTGTCTTGCAGTCATTAAATTGCGCAAACCACTTTGAATTTGGAACATTTCAGCTTAGGCAGCAGAAACAAAAATATTCCCATCTCAGAAGTAAGATAAGGTAGAAAACTTACACTGCTCCATTACGTGCTGTACTACGTCCTCACTCACTGCTCGAGCTATAACTTGAGTATCGTTCACTACTCAAAACAGATAAACTTCGCACCAATAATTGGTATGACCAATATTGGTTCTACACCAATATTTGTTCTACAGCCATATGGAAGGGATCAAAAATAAATCTAAATAATTACTTCACGCCAAAGTTTTCATTTCTAAAAAATACAAAATTACTCCAAATACTTAACGTATAATTAAGTATTCATCACAAATTATTGCTTACAATAATCTAACAAAATAAATAATGACTATAGTGTTGCCAATAGGTATATTATATATATATATCATTTCAAAACAAATAAACAA